GTAAAATTTTAATGGCAAAAAACAATAAATTCTGGCAAGATGTTTTTATTTCATGGCTTGAAGTTATAAAAACGCTGAATGATTCAGTTTCTCAAGACAATTTCTTGGATATACCAGTATGGTATAACTCAACAATCAAAGTTAATAACAAAAGCATTTTTATTCAAGATTGGTATAAGAATGGTGTTAAAACTATTCGTGATTTTTTAGATGAAAGGGGTATTTTTCTTACTCAAAAGACTTATCAACAAAGATTTAACATTTCTACAGTATGTATAATGAAGTATAATAGTGTTGTTTGTTCAATCTCAAAGTACATAAAGGATATGTCAATAGATAGATTCTCAGTGAAAAATATGTATGGACCTTTTTTACCTGTTTATTTTCAAGACATGTTGTTGTATGAAAAATGTACAAAATATATTTACAATTGTCTGAACACAAAGAAACTGTTTTAAAAGCTTTATGCAAGTGGAATGTAGAATTATCTCCATATGGAATCAATGAAATCTGTGTAAAAGATGTTTTTAAAGTATGTTTCAGAACAACAAGGGACTCAACAATTCAATGGTTACAATTTAGAATTTTACATAGGATTCTACCTGTTAACTCTTATTTAAAAAAAATTAAGATTAAAAATTCAGATATTTGTACTTTTTGTAAACAAGAAGTAGAAACTATTCAACATGTTTTCATTGGTTGTGAAAAAGTTTTATCTCTATGGACCAGCCTCAGTTTACATATTTACAAAACAATGAATAAAAGAGTTGGTTTTAATGTTGAAAATGTTATTTTAGGTGAAATTCCAATGACATATAACAAGTCAAGAATTTTATAATATTATATACAAAACAATACATTTTTACATGTTTAATGCAAGATAAAATTCCAAATCTTTTGGGCTTATTAAATCACATTAAATTGAAACATAATATTGAAAAATGTATAGCTATCAAAAATCTTCGCATAGATAAATTTGAAAAAGAATTGTCTTTGTGGAAAAACATATTTCAATGAGCTTATTAAAAAATATTTTATACTGTTTGTTTTTCATAAAGAGATTTGTCAATATAAATCTATATAGAGTAGTAAATATATGTTTTATGTAAAGTTGTAATAAGATATAGTGTATATGAACTATTGATTTTTTCAAACCATTTTCTTATTATTTTCATGATCTTAAGAATGAGACTGTATGTAAATCAGTAAGAGTCTGTGAATGAAAGTAGTCAAAATGTATAAAAAGCTCATAAATTGTTTATAATTTTATGCAAATTGTGATATTGGGCAATATAAATAAAAAAAAACAAAAAAAAAAACGATAATCCAAACATACTTTTAAAAAAATTGGTCTTTGGCTCTAAATCCATGTCTACTGTTTTCGAACTTAAAAAAAAATCGGAAAGAGAAAAAAATTGTTCCCCCCCCCGTCGATTCTTTTGACACGACCATACACTATGCTAGCAGAATAGTGTGTATCAAGCTGCCTTGTAAATTTTTAGAGTTCCAACAAGGAAATTGTGTTGTCAAGAGAAGTGTTGGGATATTTGAATCTAGATCAAGGTCAAGATACTCAAAGATGGCATGGACTTTTGCAAAGATCAAAGTTCCTGACTTACACATATATAGCAAGTAAAATTGAAGCAAAGCATTAAATTGGCCGCAAACAAAATTTTGCATTTAAAATAGTGCTTTCACAATTCAAAAAGCATCTATGCTAGGAAAGCATATGATATTCAAAGCTAAACTGAATAGTGATCATTTTTATTTCAGACTGCCTTCAAAACAATATTTAAAAAAATTAAATATATAGACATTTTAGTGCATTTGCTCATCAAATATATTCATCGATGTAATAAGCTCAATGACAAATGATAAGAACTTATTGTAATCAAAATGAAGATGTAGGCCTTTCAATATGAACCATGTGCTAATACCCTGCATCTTTGTCACGTGATAATGTCATTGGTTTCTGCAGAGTTGGCTTTGCTGCAAGGCGCTGTGCAAAATATAAAAATATTATTCTTGTGTCATTCGCAGCAGTAGCATATTCAAAACATTTTTTACAAGTTGAACAACTTTTTAATTTTTATTAACCATGCACTTTTACGTCACTATTATCCGTAAAATTATGACAATTTTCTTTCATATCTTACACACTCCCAGGCCGGGGAGTACCTATTGTATACTCTTTTTGCATAACCATAAATTGTCAATTATCTGATGAAAAATGATAATGAAGTTGATACATAATAGCAACAATAAATATTTAGTTTAAAGAATTTTTAAAAAAAAATTTACTCATGATTTTATAATGTTATCATTTAAAAATTATTTTACTGAACTAATACATAAATAACGTCTCATTTCCCCATGTGCACTTTCCAACACAACCACAAATAGCTGCGGCCGATAATAAAGCTGGAATAGAGGATATTGGGGCTAATAGTGCTTATTCCAAATTCCAAAAGCTAGTTCAACAGATGTACAAAAGGTTCAAAGAAGTCGGAAAATTTAAAGGAATGGTATTGGATGGTCTACAGAAGATGTTGACGTTGGAATACGAGATGTTAATGAAAGTGATTAAGCAGCTTTGATTTTAAGTGGACAGGGATTGGTTCAGAGATTTTAGAACACTTTCATATATGAGGACTTTTGGAAACATAACTAAGTGTTTTGTTCAATCTTTTTCCAGAAAAAAAAACTTGTTAGCATAAAATTTTTGATCAATAAAGGAATAAAACAATATGATCAGCAACGCTCAGAACAAAAGGACGCCGAGCATATAGAAGGGTTGTAGAAAAAATAAAGAAATTCCTTCTAACTTTGCTTCCTGAGGAAAAACATGTTACCCTGTCTTCTCTAACCACCCATTCAGAAAAACATCGATACCACTCGCTGTGTGTGTGTGTGTGTGTGTGTGTGTGTGTGTGTGTGTGTGTGTGTGTGTGTGAAGAAGAGGAGAGGGTTAAGACTTGAAAACTGAATGAAATGTAGGATGATTTTGGTAAATTACTAAATAGTATTTTGCGCGAAAGGGGTCAAGTGAAGAAACAGACTCTTGTTCTTCAAGTTGATTTATACTTGAGTATCCGCGTGTCTGAGATTGATCACTATTCGTTACTTGTAATTTTTAAATTTCTAGAACACTTTATCTATTTAGACAGTGTTCATGCATATCTTTTTCTTCACATTTCACTAACCTTCTGGCGTAATTCGACCGACTTCATAAAACAAATAAAGAAAACGAAGATTTTTTTTTTTGCCAGTTCAAATGTCATGGGTTCATTAAAAAATACTTTTATGTCGTCTTTTTCAACTATAAATGTCGTGTCCAGCGGGACTATTATAGTTTAAGAGGAAGAAAGAGGACATGTTTTCGTAAATGTTCAATTTTTGGCACTGTAATGGTTGTCTGTAATTGAAAAGTTTGAAATCAAATCTTTGCGATGAATTGAAAATACACACTATACTTTGTTCATTTTATTTTAAAAAGAAATATTTATATAAAGTTAGCCTTGTAAAAAGTGAATAAAATATACATGTACCTCCTATTTACTTGACAGTCATTTTATGTTGCTCTAGAATTATCAATCATAAATATTCTATTAATATAATTGTTAAATTCGAAATCAAAGAATCCATGAAATACTAATTTTATTTTCTCTCAATATGATATAAAACGATATTAGAAGTGCAATAAAGAATAAGATTACCTCGCCAATTATAAAATTCTTCAGTTTTTGTCTTTACCTTCAAAATGAAAAACGACAAAATAATGTATTCACAAACCCATACTCTGTGGGAAAAAAAAATCATGGAAATAAACTTACATACAGTGTACGTCTTATTTACTTCAACAGTTCTTTGCTTACTATACTTAAAATGTACATAAAGGAAGGAACAGTTATTATTAAGGAACTCCCTCGAGAGAACAATACGGCGCGTGCATCGGCGTGTCATGCAACAAGTTAGCCGCGAAAACGACACGGTTTATGCATTAACCACGTCCACTAGAACCTGCGCGCCCGCATGTGAAGACCCGGGAGAAGCAATTTACACCACCGTGTATATTTCTTGTTTTGTTCCGGGAGTTCCTAAAAAATGCACAGGACTGTTGTTTTTTTAGGTAATGTTTTTTTATTATTTTTTTATATAAAACTTTCCCATCTCTATAAACTGTTTTATTAATTTTCAAAAGAAAAGTTGACAAGGTTTAAACCTATGATTTGTTAGTTCGAAATATTTACATATTTGTGCAAAATTTCTGTAAATGTTTAAATTTCATTAATAACACATTGTTATCTAAATACTAAAAGTATTGACAATAGCCACATTTATTTATTATTTCTCTATGTAAAAAAATATATTGTTGAATTTATGTGAAGTTTCTTTTACCGTGTATTGTCACAAAGATTTTATCACAGGCAAAGTTAATAGTTTTCGGCCTGTCAGTTTGGGGGTTTCGGACATAACAATGAAGGTAATTGACGTTTTATTAAGAGAATCTGACAAAATGTCAGTAATCCGGTGAGAAATGAAAGGTTTGTACATGTTGAAGATTGGACATATTCTTACATCATTTACATGTAAGGTATCAGCTACAGTGTCAGTAAAACGCCTTTACGTTCATAAAATAGCAGTAATACATGTATCTTGTGATAAATTTTGAATTTACTAGGGGGAGGGGTGGGGGTTAATGCAAAAATAATAAAATGATTAAACCTCTAGTAAATTCAAAATTTACAACATGATAAATAACACGTTCTTTGAAGCATTTTGCATAAAACACTGATCGATGAAATTCATGAAATATTTCACAGTTTTTAATTTGGAATGTATTATGATATATCATTGCAAATAAAAATGTGATTGACCTTTCGTCAATAATAAGAAAACGCATCTAAAAAGACTTGCATTTCTTCCCCTTTTCGATCAATTTAGGCGTGGTGGTTTTGTTGGTTTCGACTGCATTGTCACAGAAAAATGGCGCGGTTTCCATGACTGCATCAAGCTCCGGGGTGTCGTCTGCAATGTCTGCATCCAAAGCCAATAAATCAGGTATATTTTTGAGCATTCCAAGACTTACAACTAAACCTAATTTTCTAACAAAATCTAATCAAGAGGAAGTCACAGATGTTCCCGAGGAGCGGGAAATTGGCGAGGATCCGACCACCTCGGCTGATGGCTTAACTCAAAGGACAGAATCCAACTATGGAAGTAAGACGGCGTGTGACTGTAGACATTCAGCGTGTGACTGTAAATAGACAGTTTAGCATGCCAGGATTATCCTCTCCAGTATTTAAAAGGGTGCATTACTACAGCCTATGGTATATCCCATATATATGGTTGTTATATCTGAAGAAACCTTTATCTTGGTATATATATGATTCGCATTTACCTTAAGCGTGTTTAAAGAATTTCGTATGTAGTTATAGAAATGCATGGTTTTCATATTCCCTTAAACTTCAATTATAATTAAATTGGTTTTCCTTAAGTTAAAGAATTTGAAAAAATACATTAATTTTATAAGTGTGTTCCCTATGTACCCTAAAGTGATTTTCGTGTTTGGAATGCATGCTGTTTGTTCCATTGTTGTACATGTTTAACCCTAAAGAGTGTAAAAAGACATTTGAAAGGAATCATTATTGTACCCGCCTTTCGCATGATATTGCCCTTCCTCACCCAAATGAAGTTTGGATTGAATTGAACATATTTTATTGTAATATATGTATACAATGGGATTGGGCACAAGTTCTCAAAACTTATTTAGTTTGGATCATTCTGGATCTATCACGTTCTTTAAAATGCTTTTATTGATCAATATTACACAATTAAGTCGAAGGAATTTCATTTTTCCCATTGTCTTTATTTCAAAAGCCGATCCTATAGAGCAACATGATGCCACCACGTCGATGCCGCAACAGTCATCAAAACAGTCAACAAAACAGATAAAAAGGAAAGCTGCAGCAATTGCCGCGGCGGCAGTTGCTGCAGCAGCAGCAGCAACTCCTCCAAAAGCAATCCGACGACCAGCACCAAAACCTGCAGTACCACGTGATCCTATTGTGCATGCACGACCTCCTGTCGTCAAACCAGCATCAAGACCAGCTGTACCACGTGATCCAATTGTGCATGCGCGATCAACAACCCCGGAACCAAAAGAGGTTGATGTTGAAACAACTGGGTCCACATATTATAACAGCAATTACTATCCTGATTACTACAACTATAATAGTGGTTTTGACGGTAAGCTCCTCTGCTTGGGAATGCTAGCATTGTATAGTCTGCATTTAACTATTTTCTAACACATACACTTTATTAAATGAATGTAAAAACTTATTAATAATAAGATCATCACTGGATATTTCATAAAGATAACAACATTAATTAACATTTTAATTTACTTCACACACTAAGTATCATTAACAAGAATGTAATTTGCACCAAGATTGCTAACATGCACTGTCTTCCATATGAAATAATAAATGTATTTGGTGCTTGCACATTAATGATATAACTGCTAATAGAATAATATCCAATGTGTAACAATTCTTATGACATGGGAGTTTGTCCATGTAAACTTTCTAACAGGAAATGATCGTAGTGGCAAAAACCAAGGGGACAACACGTGTCCAGTTTTCAAAGAAACAATCATGGAGCACCACATTATTTTACGGCATGGTGGATGTGAAATGTAGGTTGCTGTATTTCTAAAACTTTCTTTGTATGCATTATTCAACTACATTTTTATGTAAAATCACACTCAAAAGATGTAAACTATTACTTACCAAAGCTTAACCAAGTTATCTGTATATGATAGTTTTTTATTGAATATTTATTCTTATGCTAACTTGCAAGCAATATTAATATTCATTGTCAAATGTTAATAATCATAGTTTCAGTAATATTGAAAGTATTTCTAAACATCCATCCCTTTAATGTAGCGGTATTAGTAATAGTTTATGAACCGTAATGGTGCGTTCAGATTTTTTACCATAATTGAAACAGGTAGACGTTACTCTTCATTATAGTAAATACTAGTGTTCATGTAGTAACGCATGTTGTATATATGTTTTTTGGGCAAGTGAGTTAGTCCTGTGCGTAACGGAACTGACATAATTTGCATCGGGATCGACGTCGGAATCTTGCCTTGTTTTAAAGAAACGCTCTTTACGAGGGTAATGCTCCGCTATAAATGCGGTTAGAAATTTCTGAATATTCATTGCCAACAGATGGTCCCTCATTAATGCCGTAATAAAAAATTTAAGTAAATGTGTTTCTTTGATATATGAATTAAATGAACGAGATATGAAAATTTCTCTTTAGAAGTTACGTAGAAAAACAAATGTAAACTATGAATTAATATGGCATGTGGGCGTCAATGAGCAAGAGCATCCTTATTTACATTTTTATTTAATTTCACTGCAATATTTTTTTTCAAATTATTAATTCAGTAAAGAGCAAAATCCTGGAAATAGGAAACAACTTCATAAAATTTCATTCTGTCATTAGCCCACACAACTGTTAAGAATCATTATTTGTTTAAGTTGTTGATAGATTCCACAGGATGAAATACTGTGATCATAGTAGCATATATATAACACTACTGCATTGAACAATGAAAAAAAAACTTTAATTAAATTTGTCTTATATGCGAAGTAAGCATTCATTAATTTATTTTAAAACATATTTGACCTCTTGATTATAATTTTATCAAATTATGGTATGAACTTACAATGTTCCTGACCCTCGTATATTGTGGACTTTTGCTTTTATTCATACTTTAATTTATGCATTCTGCAATCAAATATCTAACAGTTGCCTAATAATTAAGCAATAGAAGGTAAACTTATTCTTTGTGTATCATTTCAGCATTCTATCACAGGATGATGCTATTCGATGGTTTGGCAGACCGACGTAAGTACATCTAAAAACACGATTAAGCTCCCATAACAAAGCAAAAAGGTTTTATTTCATTCTTAGTTAAGTCTTAAGGATTCTCTCTACACTGCATTCAGGGTACATATATTTGCGTAGTTAAACTGATCCATCAAACGATATATAGAATAATTTAAAGATTTTCTAATCAGTCGGTAAACCAAAATATTTTTCCCAGGGTGCTGGGAACAGCTCAATGTGTTCTTTTGCCCGAGGCTAATGGCCAGGCCATGTTTCTATCCATAGGAAGTATTTATTAAAGTTAAGTTTTGTCAAAACCCCTGGGATCTGGCCACAATATACTCGATATGTAAATAAAACATATACATGTATGTGCATTGTTATTTTTTCTAATTAATTACCTGTTTTACCAATTGCAGAAGGCCGCTAGTGTACTCAAGGAAATACCTATAAGGAACTCGAATACATCATAATTGTTCACCCAGCAAAGCTATCATCATTCCTATGTACATCTGCTGTAACATGCTTTAAATACTAGCTATAATAAACAAGTTCATTAAAGTGCATGTGGTTTAATATTCATTGTTTTTATGACAAACATCAATCATGTGGGAGTATGGAAATACCGGGAGATCAAAATACAACAAGCTGTATGTCCATTGATTTTGTGTACATGTATATTATTTAAAAATATTTACATTTGCTGATGTCTGTCCTTATATAACAATGATAATGAAATTGAAAATCAATTTTTGATGACATGTAGTTGGTCACATGATCCGATTTTCTTGCATATGGAAAGCAATTTGAACGAGCCATCTGGAAGTTCAGATTGTGACCTCACATGACGTCGTAGATACGTTATGTTGCATTACCATAACAAAGTCTAAATAGTGCCTATTTTTCCTTGTCACAGGAAAAAAAATTGAAAATATAAATATAAGAAACAAAATATAATTTTTTAGAGTTTCATTGGGAATGACATGAAGTCGGTACGTGATCAAATATACTACAACGCCCTTTGGGCGTAATAGAATTTGATAACGTGACTGACTTCACGTCATATCCCAATGAAACTCTAAAAATGATATCTTATTTCTTAAGTGAGAATGACAAAATCTCAAAGTATTTAAGACAGTCAAAAATGCTTAATATGAAATTAACATATAAATCAATGTTCTTGGTCACCTGTATCACTCGATCAAAATGCTATATAGACTTATTACTTCGTTTATTCCCATCATCCCATTCCTCTTGCTTTAATTTTGAAAACGACTTTGTATCTCTCAGTTTATTTCAGTTTCAGTTTCTTTATTTCTTTAAGCCAACTGGCTCATCAGAGAATACAAACATAATAATTATAAGAAAAAAACATACAGAGATAGTGAACGTGAAGAACACATACATGGAAATAATACTATACATCAATTTTAATTTTTCTTAACATTGTTGCAGCTTTCAAAAAAATTGCCCAAATTTAAGGGATCTTTAATATTATTGGAACTTAATAGCTGAATTATTTTAAAGACACTTGGCTTAGTATAATAATACTGGAGTCGTGTTTTATTTAGTAAAATGAACAAGTTTCAATTTGAAGTATTGGTATATAGATCAATAAGGATGGTTGCAGAAAGGAAGAATTTTGAACATCATAGAAGGTTTACAATTTGTTAATAGTTTAACAATTTTATTGCTTGTATCATTTGCAATAAAAATCGGCTGAGTAATATATATAGAAAACCAGGTATCAATTTTTTTGGTATCACATGTCCTAAAAACTTTTTTAAACAGATAGACTTAAAAAATTATGAAGTAACTGAAATTACTAATTATGAACTTAAGTTTTAAATTATATGAAATATGATTTTTCTAGCACACCAAAATCTGACTGGTTTTGAAAGCATAGCTTTAAATAGATTTAAGCAAAAAAAAAAAAAAAAAAAAAGATAAGAAAAAGGAAAAAAAAAACCACACAAACAACGGATATACAAGTACTGGTATTGATTCGTCCGTAGTAACATCGTATATGATGTAAAATTATATATGTTAACTGGTTGGAAGTATTTTTATAGCGCCATTTTCAGAAAAATGAAACAGAAGCATATTTAGTAAATATTTTACGAGCTTGACTATGACTACACTCGTTTATGTCCGATTTAAATAAAAAAAAAACAAACAATAAACTGTCGTTTGTTTAACAGCTTGATACACATGTCCATTTTTTTTCTTTTAAATATCCTTTTCGTATTTTATATCAAAAATATCTATAAATAAAACATTTATTTTTATCATTTTAGTCAACGAATAATCACTTCAACTAATTAAAAAAAATTACTGATAAGCAAAAAAAAAAAAAAGAGTTTGAATGATACCGGTTTTTTGTTCCTCAACATCTCCGGTGTTTTCGTCACTTTTTGTCAACTCTGACTTCGAGATATCTAGAGTCCATATACCATGACTGGTAAATCATCTTAGTGATAATGAAACAAATCAAAGTTAAGTAGTGTATATTTAGCGTAAATGCTAAACTTTATTTTGATAATTCTATAATTTCCTGTGCACCTGTCACGTGTATTGGCGAGTGGCTTGTTCTCGGAAACTAACTTACCCTACTTTGTTTCGAATGTACGTACAATATAACATTGATTAAAATGACCTCTGACATCGGTCGTTTATATCGGTGTCACAGATTTCTATTTCCCTATCATATCTTTCATAAAATAGTAATTGATTTTTTTTTTTACATTTATAGCAATAATTATGTTCTTTGCCTTATTTCTCCGTGTTCTTAAACAGAAGCTGTCTGAAGCCACCATTGACAACGTATTAATTTCAACGATATCGTTGAATTTCAAGGCAAGTTTTTGTTTAGATGAAGACACAGGATGCCATTGTTGAAGTACTAGTACTGCTGGTTAAATCATTGTTATTATTAGAAAAATGTTTCTTTAGAAGTAAAAAAAAAAGCAAATAATAGACTAGAACAATAAAAATAAAAAACCTTGAATGTTCCAAAGAACACAACAGTCTATATATCAACGTTTTGTAAATTAAAATGCATTGTAGCAACCGCTAATGATAGAACTTCACTTAATGATACAAATATCATAAAACGTTGCAATGCAACGCTTAGTGTCATAAATCATTGCATTAATAGTTGACATGCTCAACCGCTTAGTGATATAATTCTTTCATTAAGCGGCGAATTAGCATTAGCGGTTGAAAAGGTCAACCATTAATGCAATAATTTATTACATTCAGCGTTGCAGCTCTAAAGGATATTTGTACCATTAAGCAACGTTATATCTTTAGCGGTTGCTACAAGGCATAGTAATGATTTGTTAATGAAGATATTATGAAATGGGATTTCTTCACTACTTTCTGTATCTCATCGATCTATGTAAGACCAACAATTGTTTCAGCGCGAATTTTATCGAAATCAATGAATACGTTATAGTATTAAATGTATGATGTTTTGAATTTTCTTTAAGAAATTTGTTTGCTTCGTAAATATGAAAAATTCATCATTTCATCGGTTTTATTCTTGTACAATAATTTTTATAAATGTTTATATCATACCAAGGGTACATTCTAATCTTTCCGAAAGGTATTTGATCTTTTGGGTTATTTTTGTAATGCATTTATTTATCTTCAAGTGATACAAGTTTGTTATACCATACAAAATTAATTGCAAATATTGCATGACTCAAATTAATTTCCAAAATTATTCTGTGCTATTATACATGCATGAAAAATGTGAAACAATAGAATATTTGTTGTGGGAATTTGAACATGTTAAGACTA